ATATATATATATATATATATATATATATATAAACCAGAGTGTAAGTGTGTGTCGGCCGTCGTTTCCCGTTTATTGGTTTTATCACCAATAAGTCAAAATGTCGCAAAATAAGAGAACGTTTCCTTGGTGGCATACGCTGTGAATATTTCTAAATCAACTTTTAAGAAGACCCTATGAGTCTGTTTCCCTTTGCTTTTTTACACATGTGCCCAATTTTCCCCTAATTTAAGGTTGATGCCGAGATGGTTCAGGAATTTTGCAAGAAAATTCAAGTATCTTCAGTCCCTGTGGTCCTGTTTTTCCTGGTATGTTCACAAATAAATTACCATTGCCGAAGTATGGGAACTTGGGTTTTTTGCGACGCTGTTATTTTTAATCGCACAGTTGCCTCTGTACCACTACGTTTCTATCCCTTTAATAGTTACATTACTGAAATTTATCGGTATTAGTTTAAACGGGGCATTTTATACACCACTGCCGTGCTTGAAATATCTAGTCTCCTTAATTTCTGTCCTTTAGAATAACAAGGTAGTGGGTCAAGTCCGTGGAGCGAATGCGGCCGAACTAACCAAAATGATCGCTTCCCTTCGTGGGAAACAAACTGCCTCGTCAGACTTGAATGAGAGAATCAAGGCTTTAATCCATAAGGCGCCAATCATGCTATTCATGAAGGGTAATCCTAATGAGGCCCGTTGTGGATTTAGTCGAAAAATGCTTGAAATCCTCCGCAAAAATAACATCGAATTCGACTTCTTCGACATCCTCTCCGACGATTCCATTCGTGAAGGTAGTGAAATGGCTGTCAATTCGTGCGTGCTTTTTTACCTGGTTTATCTAAACATTTCTGTGGGAATTAAGGAGTATTTGAGTGAGCGGGAGGTAATTGATTTTGAGTACCATTCTTCTATATCTTTTGGATCCGTAATCCGAATTCGGAAAAAAATAACTAAAGGTTCTGAGCGATCGCGTGCTCTCACTTGTCAACGCCCGTGGGGCAATAAATTATCGTTTTCGTGTATACATGTGGCCAATTCATGTGTGCTGTCGGAATTACGTCAATTTTTCAAACATTAGAGATTGACTCCAACGCTTCTCGATTCTTTACTTCATTCTGAAGTACATTCTAAATTGCTTAGTTGGGAACATGAAATCCATAATCAGATGCCTTTCCATTATTGTAGGTCTTAAGGTCTACTCCGATTGGCCCACCTATCCGCAGTTGTACGCAAATGGCGAATTAATTGGAGGAGTGGACATCGTACGGCAACTAGCTGAAAACAATGAACTGAGGTCGGCCCTTGGTCTCTAAGGTTCAAGGCCTCTATTTTAGTACTCTGAAATAACGCACCGTTTGCATTTCCCGACAATCTCGAAATTGCTATAACGCCGGAAATTTGGCTAGCAAAGGCGATCAGAGTAACTTTATTCCCAAGTGTCAAAGATGCTACTAACTAACTCCACGGTGTTTTAGCAGTCACTTGAAGCACGGGTCGCTAGTACGCTATAAAATACCTAAAACGTGTAAAGAATTTACGGTCAAACACAGTAGTTGTAATTACATGGATTTCTTAGTTTGAAAGAATATTTCGCCATAAATAGCCAAAATCCAGTACTTGATGGTGTGAATTGAATAATGAAATTTGGAATGTACATTTACGATTACTAATGCGATGAAACTGAGGAAGTCAGACTTACGGAGGCCTGGTCCTGCCTCTTCCCAGGCTTCTTGGTTATCAGTTTTTTGTCGCTACCTTAAGATACCTTGACTTACTTCCAATCTAGGCAGGTGCCTTGTCGCATAACACATGTTGGTCTGGAGGTGTTCGCTAACAGTCGGTTGCAAAAATTCTTCCTCTCGAGAGCGTGTTAGCGGTAAAACAGTGCCAGCTCGAACGTTATTAAATCAGCGAACCCGACTACATATTGTAGGTGTCGGTCAGATCGCTTCTTGAATAAATTAGGTCAACGGAAACTGGAGCGGGGGTTGTACTTTCTTTTACGTCAATGAAGGTGGTCATATTTCCCACCCCTTGGATGAGAAACTCGTGGATCTTATCTGTCGTTTCTGTCTTCTCCAGAGGTGTGCCAGTAGTGGAACAAGATGAGTTCATTCGTGTTTGGGGGGAAGGAACTTAGCCCATAACTGGTGCAGAACCAAATCATCGACTTTGTTATCCCCAGCGTCGATGCTCCTACGCCAGAGGTGTCGAAGACCATCCTCGCCGGAGCTAGGCATTCGTGTGGGAACAGCAGATTCCAACTTTTCATTAAGGTTGCAATTTCAAGCAAATCGGTCATTTCTGTACGACCATCCGTCGGTAGTCGTGCAATATAATCAAAATATAAGGAGAATAGGAAGATGATTCTCTAATTGGAAAAATGACCCCTAATTCGCACAAACCATACGCTGGCGTTAGAACTGTACTTGGGGAAAGTGACCTAAGTGCTCCTTTTCGAAGTAATCGGTAGGCCCACCAAATGTGGTTTGTTTACACCACCTTAGAATTCTGCTAGTAAAATGTCCTTAATGACCTGAGAGTGGAGAAATGACATGCGACGTTGGGAGCAATCCTTTACTTTCGTCAAATTGTTTTCTTTGTATTAACCAAACAGGGCCGCTGTATAGGTGCGATATCAACGTCCTGAGTTTCTACAGCTTAATTCCCAGGTCCCAAAATACGAACAGAATATTCGTTAGGGGGTTAACCAGGTGGGCTCTAAGGATAAATTCAAGCTCCTCTCCCGCGCCAATAGTCTGTGTGATTAACCGGCTGATGGATCCACTGTCTGTTCGCTAGCTGGAGGGTATAATTTCGTGACACGTTCCCTCTCACCACACTGTGAACAAGTCTCACTCTCTCGGGTCCGCTGTCGATTCACTTTAAGTATTTCATTTCCTGAGAGAGTTGGCTGAAAGCGCTTCTTGGCACCAAGGACACCAATGAGGACAAAAGGATTTGTAAGAGAATTCGGATGAGCGACCATCCTAAGGAACTTCATTTTGGCTGCAGTTCCTTCATGAAGAAATTAAACTGATCGATGTGGGCTGAATAAGGGATTTCGACAATGTTGATAAAATTGGTACTCTTTCAATTGACAGACACAGGGTTGTACCGACAACAATTTGCGCTGGAGTGGAGTTAATGTCTTCCTTAACGGAATTACGGATGGCCAACAAAATCGACGGCAGTTAGTAGACTTAGCTTTTGTATTTATAGCTGATTCTAACTCAAAGTGAGTGCGCTCAAATAAGCTATTGGATATTAGGAGAGACGCATTATTACAAAAATGAATGTGTCGTGGTGCCATAGTGCGATTAGAAAATAACACCATGGCCTGCGATGTATATTGACGAGGCCTGATCAAAAGAAGAGTAGAAATGCAGATGATGTGTAGCTCAACTTGTTGATGCAGCAGCGGTGTGCAGTTAGCTTTGCGTTTAGGTAGCTTTGCTGAGCATCGGTCCTTGAAAGACTATAATTACGTGAAGTGCATTCACGTAACTCGATTGAGTCACATTCGTCCACGATTTCTAACTGCACTCGCTTGGTGCTCGCCACAAATGCATTCGAGAAGGTGATTTATGTCCTTAAACAAACAAGATGTTGATCATACCAAACCATCAGATGCACTAAAGCTGGAAACACCGAACGACGATATCCTTTATTCTATGAACGCATAGGCAAATCTAATGGCCCCTTGAATTAATTGGCGGCTCATATCGTTTCAGATATCAGAAACGCTCATCTGAGTGAAAGAAATGTCCCGGTTGGGAATTTAGGAGCCGGTGGATTTTGCTGCACTGACGTTAAGCACAGAATGTAGCCCATAAATGGACAACTGCGGCGAGCGGCGAACGAGCATTCGTGAGCGAACACAATTCAATCGATTTTTCGTGAATGCACTATGGTAAACAGAGCCACCACGCGTGAGTGATGCGTGTATCTTTGTGGCGTCGGATTAGGGCGCAGACATGTTGGACCACCTGGCCTCAGCCAATCCTGTGTCTCTCTGCGATCCAATGGCATGCGGGAAAGGAAGGCAGCCAACCAGAGAAGGACACGACTGAGGAGCAGTATATAATGAGCGGCGTGGCCAGCGTGGTGGACTCGGATGGAAGGCGCCTGACGTGTGGCTCTGGCTTCTGATTGGTCAATAAAGCCTGTTCTGTTGTACCAGTCTTTTACCTATTAGGGCTCGGGTATTCTACATCTTGCCCTACTGCACTAATGACTCATCCTCTTTGTCATTGGCTCATGTTTGCAGTCGCCTGTTAACCACACGTATTAATATGCACACACAATTGCTCATGACTTCACTTGTCTGTCGTGACGCAAATAAACGGTCATGATCTCTATTGGCTCTCTTTTGTCTTCTCTCTTCTCGGGTTGTACCGGCTGTTAACTTTAGGGTTGCCCGGTAGAGTTAAATCCGGCTACTACACAACTATTCGAAAACAAATGTAAAACAAAACGATCCATTACTTAGCGAATGTTTGGAGCTAAGTGACAGTAAAAATGTTCCATTTTAATTTTTTTTTCAATAAGGAAAAAACAAAAGGCCGAGGCTTTATGATTAATATGATACAAGAAATTTTCGTGACACGTTAAAAGAACGGCAGCTACTCCGGGTACATATAAGACTGTTATTGAAATTGATGCAATTCTGTATCATTCTTCTGCATTGCAGCTAATTTTTCAAAATCAATGCCAGGTTGTAAAGAATGATTAAAATATATTCGAGAGTGCGTGGGCCATAATGTTGCCAGTTCCAACCACCTGCCGGACACTGAATATGTTTTATAAAACATGTTCGAAATATCCGTATTCGCGTTAGGAAACATGTTAGAGGATGCACATTAAGCATAACCGGCAAAAAAACTAAACACACGTCTTTACAGTAGTAAAGGATTTGTCCGATGGTAATATTAACCGCTACCAGTTTATTCAATAATGTCTGAAATCGGATTTATATCAGTTAAAATGTTTTGAAGATGCAAGATAATGTCTCATTGCGACCTCTAAGCACTTGTTTTAGCACAAATTGGACACTAGTGTGAGATCCAGCCATTCACAAGAAAAATTCGTAAAATTTGCAGCAAAATCAACACACATTTGGACGGAACTTTGGACTCATTAGTTGACACTAATATTAATTTGATGATGGTCAAACAAGGAATATGTGGCGAGCACCAAACAAACACAGTTAGTAGTCGTGAGCGAACGCAGTGTGCAAACGTGAGCGAACACGATTCAATCGATTTTTGGGAATGTACTTCACGTAAATAAGTGCGTGCAGAGATCGTTGTCTAGCGAAGGAACATAAATACAACTGTTATCTAGTACAAAACCCACCAGAATTGCCTTAATAACTTGGGTGAGCTACTCGCCATCTGAATATATTCTCTTCTTTTGGTCGGGCTTTGGGAGTGTAAGTCGCCGGTCCAGGTGTGGTTTCCAAAAACCGCATTGGAGCCCGCTAAATATACGAAGTCAGGAATGGTTAGAATAAAATGCATGAGCAATTTGAGCAAACCATAACAATAATGATAGCTTTAAAATCACAACATGGCCTTAGAGGCTTTCAAATCGATAGATTGACCAAAAAAGCCAACTCTTTCCTCACCAAAATCCCTAAATTTGGGGGGCAGATTGCAATGCCACAAGCCTTCCGATGGTAACGGGTTTAAAAAAAACAGGTCCTGTCAAAGCAGTTCAAATCGAATGGTGAAACAGCAATTACATTTGGAGTTTAAATAAAAATTAATATCGATTGGACAACGCTGGCCAAAGCTAACACAGTGAATGAAATAAAAAGGGAAAACAGTACTATTTAATAGCCACTGAGCACACACAACGGCAAAAAAAATTTATAAAAAATGTAATGCATGCGACTTGATTTAGTGCCTGATAAATCAAATCACAAAAACATATTGAAAAATTTCAAGGCCCTTAAATGACTGGATGGATATTAACAAGCACACATACATCCACCTAGGTAGTAATACTCTTATTAAAGACTAGTTTTATCCTAGTGTGTACAGGATCCCAAAGAAGGAAAAGTATACTTTGACGGCATTGATGGCGCTCCAGAGCAGAAGACAACGACTGACCTAAATACCGTTAAGTGAATAATTTTTAAATTTTTTTACAGAATATCATGCTTTCAACCAGAGTTGAATAACGACTTTGCAGCTTCGTGTAAGTGAATTCTATTTTTTTTCTCAGACTTCCAAAAAAGGAGTTTGTTTTAACCTTAACTGTTTCCGTGGGCGGCTTTCACTTTGGACGATAATGTCGAGGGTTTATGTTGGTCGTCTCCCAGCGAGGTGCTCCGAACGGGACATCGAGCGTTTCTTCAAGGGTTATGGTCGTCTTCGAGATATAGTTCTTAAGACGGGTTATGGGTTTGTTGAGTTTGAGGATTCAAGAGATGCCGAAGATGCCGTCTATGACCTCCATGGCAAGGACCTCCGGGGCGAGCGCATTGTAGTCGAGCATGCTAGGTTGCCACCAGGATCAAGAGGAAGTAGTAGACGCCGAGAATCGTAAGCTTTGTCATAACTTAGCGAGTTTTACAGCACTAGACGCTATGGGCCTCCAACTCGCACGGAATATCGAGTTATAGTGGAGAACCTGTCGTCTCGCGTTAGTTGGCAGGTGAGTCATTCTGTTCAACTGTTTAAGTGCTTCATGCACGCATTTTGTTTATCTAATATGTCCTGGCTATCTTAAATTCAGTTTGTCCTCGGTCCCGTGGCAGCGGTCGCGTAGGACGCTAAGGTGGTGCACTGAATGCCCGTTCAGGTCGTATGGTCGAAAGAAAGTGGGTCGTATACAGGTGGCTTGGTCGCTAACGTGGCACGGCTCGTTCCTGTTAGGTAATTTAACTCATTAAAGACCGCTTAGCCACATAGGGGTTAAGGATTGTATGGTAGTGTTTTTCCCAGACTGGTTGCAGCGCTGTGAATGCGCATGCTCACCTGTTTCCAATTGGCATAGATTAACTGCATCAGGCAGCCTTTGTTTTCGCGAACCACCAACTAGTGCGACGATTACTGTTGGCCGGCTGGAATCGTGATTTTCCGGTCCGCGAAAACATAGGCCCGCCTGATTAGTCTTTGACAACACTATAATAAAACTACTTTTTAGGACTTGAAGGATATGATGAGAAAGGCTGGTGAGGTTACGTATGCTGATGCGCACAAGCAAGTGAGAAACGAAGGGTATGTCCTCGACTATAGCTAATGACTGTTTTAGAATAGTTGAGTTTGCTACTTATAATGACATGAAAGCTGCCATTGACAAATACGACGGCTATGTGCTCTATGAGCGGCGTCTGAAGGTGTATGAGGATAAACCTCGTCATCGCTCAAGATCGGGCTCTCGTCGAAGTGGCAGCAGACGTGACGCCAGGCGTTCTCGAAGCAGGGGCTCACGCCGCCGCGACAGATCCCGATCTGACAGCCGTCGTCGTTCTTCGTCCAGGAGGTCACGCTCGAATCGCGATCGTTCACGCGATTCAGATGCATCGCGAAAGTCTCGGTCGAGGTCCGGGCGATCAGCATCTCGCCGCAGTGATCGACGGTCAGGCGGTCGCCGTAGTCGTTCACCAAGCCGCAACGGTGATGGCTCAGCAGCGGGTAATGGAAGGTCGCGGTCGGCGTCAAACGGACGTTCTCGCTCGGTTTCTCTCCATGATTCTCGATCTGGTTCAAGGCATCGTTCGCGAAGTGTTTCTCCTGCGGACCGTTCTCGTGGAGGTACAAAATCAAGATCCAGGTCCCGGTCTCCAGAGGAGATGGACTCGAGACGTGCCAGCGTTCCTGACCATCAAAGTGAGGATGATCGGGCCGAGGCAGTCGACGAGAATTAAAACATTAGAACTATTCGTGTCAATGTAAAGGTCATTTTATGTCCTAGCGTTTCGCTGGGGTTTCTCATTATCCTGTTCTCTTTTTGGGCATCCTGTTTGGCGCTCTTGTGTCCAGTCCATAGAATTCGTTCATGCTGTCTTGTCGGGGCTTCTGTGTGCCTCTGCCAGGGTTTCGTCGGGTTGATGTGTCGTTTTCCGCGAAATAATGGGTTGAAGATGCTGGGATCCACCCGACTCAATGAGTCAATAACGGTAACGTTGCCTACATTCCCCTCGAAAAAGCCGCTCGGTGTATTTTGGCTGACTTCCTTTATTGCTAAAGAGGCTAGTCAGCTGTGATGTCTAATCTCAAATTAGAGCTCAGAGGTGACCGCACTTTGCGTATCGCGCCGTGGCTGTTTTGTGAGGCACCTGGGCGGCACACTCGGACGTCCGTCAGATTTGGGAGGGGCGTTGGCCTTGGTGGCTTGGCGACGCACGGTGGCCTAGTTTAGCTTTCGCTTCTCGCATGCAGTGGACCTCCGGATTGCAGGTCATTGGCGCGTTGCCGCCAATTGCTAATTGGCGTGACATTAAAGATCGTTTCTTCTAAATTTGTGGGTGTTGATTCTTCTGGGTCCGCATCACACGAACACACAGGAACTTCCCGTATCATGTGCGGACTTTGGTCAGTCCTCAGTCATGTCTCGGAATTCTATCCCTCAGTTGAATTCTTAACAGTGAATTAATGTTTTTGTGGAACCCATTCGAATCCAGGCATTTGAATGAGACTGCGGAATCGATACTCCATGAAGGTACTTGAATGCCAAGGTTTGGGAATTTTTTGTAGTTAAGGCAAGTCTAGATTGGTTACACAAGCCGCCATCGTGTTAAATGGCGGTCTCTTGAGGATAATCGGGCGCTGAAAAGCGGTGTCTTCAGTGCAATTTGGTCACCGACTATAAAACGTGTGTATTGTCACAGAGATATGAATTCTGTGACATTTTGGTCAACTACCATTACTATATCTTGTCTTGAAGTCGCATCCCTCAGTTGAATCCTCGACGGTGAATTCATGTAGATTATACTGTTGTTGTGGAACCCATTCGAATGCGAGTATTTCAGTGAGATTATGGATTCAACACTGGAAAAAATACTTGGGTGCTAAGAATCGGGCATTTCTTGTACTTACGGTAAGCCTGTTCGCATCGAAACCTTGGATGGATGCTTTAACATTTTCTGCAAAGGAGATCACCCAGAGAGGTGCCCATTGCGGTGATTGTGATTCAGGTATGATCAATTCCTCTTACATTACCAGCTTTTATAAATTGACGTGTGTTAAAATGGCAGTCTCTTAAGGACAACCAGGCGCTGAAAAACGATGCCTTAATAACAAGTTGGTCACCGATTGTAAAGCAAGCATGTATCACCACAAAGATATGGGTCCAGAGCGCTAGGCTGTCTTCATTTGCAACAGTGAGGTTTTCAATAACAAGAGATCCTACATGTAATATTTGTAGGCTAGGTTTCTTCGAGGCCAAAATTATCATAAGTTTTGGACACTAAAGAATCAGTTTTTTTTAAAGATGACATGTGCATTTATCAAGCTGGTTGCTACGTAATGCAGGGAAAAGAAAATCGCTTAGTTTTTGTAAACAATCTGCAAAATAATGTTTATCGAACTAGGCAATAAAATGCACAGCCATCCAGTTTTAAATTTATTTGCCTCTCCAAATTAAAAGCAGCTATGAAGTAAATGGTTGCATTTCCGGTAGTAAGTACACATGCAAAAGGGGGGATTTGTTAATTTCGTCACAAATGTGTCATTACAATAAAATACCCAGTCTATTATAATCGCATGGTTGCCTCAATCGCCTCGAGAGTTTTACGAACACGTAGGGCAGACAGTCTATGTGTCCAAAGAGGATGCCAACACTCTTTAATTACTTCTGCCCAGCGTTCCAACAGCCTATCTTGAGTAAGTGCAGAATTTTTCGAGAGGATGAGGGATGGGCGCTTTCCATTTACAGAGTTTTGACGTCCATCATGAATAGGCATGCGCCTCCCAAGCCAGCTGCAGAGATGGCAAAGTTGAAGAGATGGATAATAGTAACTTGGGGTGGTGCTGCAGGCCAGTGAGTTGTACGGGATGCCCAAAACAACTACGCGATACATCTGAAGAAACGTTGGGTCCATTGGTACGTATTCATAGAAGGGGAGCTACAAATTGATCACTTAACAATTGCAGACGGCTTACAACTTCGGCCTATAAAGCGGGATGCACATGTATAAACTAATTACAAGGATGAAAATAGCTGCGGTCAGCATGTGTATGGGCTCAGTACTAGATAATCGAACCCGGAAATGACTACATAAGTGGCGGAGTTATTTAAGTTTCTTAATATGTAGGCGCCACATTGAAATCGACACCCTATGGATTCAAGGACACAAAGAACAAGGTACACAGTAGACAATACTATTCGTGAAGGACTGGTAGTCAAAACCCTCATGCCGTTATTTGGCTTAGGTGAAAACTGAATCAGCAACCATGAAAAAAAGGGTAAATTTGCGGGTTCCGTAAAACTAGTAAACGAACTACTGGGAACCAGAGTTTCGCGTAAGAAGAGAACAAAGTTACAGAGTCGTTAATATAAAGTAACCTAGATTGTATTGAATAAGGAATGTGGAAATATGTCAAATCAAAGGCGTTTTACAACAACCTAAGCGAAACTTTTTCAAGTCACTAAACAACATATACGCTGTAATTCCATAACAATTCTCATACAAACAGTGTTACAGAAGTGGCCGATGGTCACAAGGCAAAGATTAATGTAAATAAGAATAGGATTATGGGAGTTTAAATGCTTAACATACAAAAAACCAGATCTTCGAAAAAGTTCTTTTCAAGAAATTCAAATCTTACCTTGTAGGGTTCCCCTTGACTGCGCCGCCAAATCTCCCACAACACAAGCCCAAGTGCATATACATCCGCGGACTGATAGACCTCAAACGCAAACAGAAGATGCCGGCACTCAGTCATTCCCTCAGGAATAGTTAAATCCACCTTCCCATTTCCTACAGATTCTTTTTCTTGCCGCTCTTTTTCCACAGAGTCTTCGCGGTCCCAGCTACCCCACACTAAAGGGTAAAGAGCAAGTAATTCGGGCGCCATGTAGCGCTTGGTGCCCGCAAATGGGCCCGCAGGGGGTGGGCTGTCAACACGCTCCTTCACATCCTCACACTCTCCCCTTGTCTTCCTTACAATGGCTAAACCAAAATCTGCTAAGCATGCCTCTCCATTAGACATGACGAGGATATTCTTGGATTTGACGTCTCTGTGGGCAATCGATGGTTTCCCATGAAATCCAGCAACCTTTCCATGAAGAAATGCTAACCCTGCCGCGATCGATCGAGCGAATTTGAGGCCACAAACCAAGGTTATGTGTTCAGTCGCCTGAAGAAATTCGTGAAGAGACCCAGTAGAATGATAGGCGGTGACTAACCATAGTTGAGTGCATCCGCCACGGGAAATCATGTCACTTGCGTAATAGGCGAGAATATTCGGATGACAAAGAAGGGCGGTAGTGTATATCATTGTTTCGCGAGCCCAACTGGCCCCATCACGACTAGAAAAAATCTTGACAGCAACAGGCTCTTCATTGCAGACAGCGCGCCAGACTTCCCCAAATCTTCCTTTCCCGATACACGATAAGAGAGTTATTTGGCGAGCTATTGTTCGGTGAACCAAGAAAGGTTTCCCCGCCCCACTGCCGCTGTCTGGTAAATCTGGGAGACAGGAAGTCGAAGATTGGCCAGCAGCTAAGGATCTCCCGCATTTACCAAAACATTCTCTGAAGTGTATGTGTGCTATTACTACAATAATGACGCACAATGCCAGCAAGAGGACGGGTGAAAAAACCAAGACACTGTCATAGTAACGCCTGGAGAATGTATAATTAGCATTGCAAAAATCAGTTGAGTTGGATGGAAAACAGCAAGTTACGCTACAACAAGGAATATTACAAGTGAATATCCGATGGGCGTTACTGGACAGACAGCCGTAGTGTTCGAAGATTAGCTGGCCCAACCAGTTTGTCTGAGAAGAATAAAAACATCCCACACTGGAATTGCATTTGGAGACCCCATGTGAGCATGTGGAAGGTGGAAAACATTTGCATTGGATGCTTCGATTTCTCATGATAGTAGGCTGCTTCTTCAAGAAAAAATGCGAATATGAAAATCCGGGCACACAGATGATCTAACGCAATAATTCACACAAACAAATTTAAATTGCCGACGAGCTAAGACAAGTGAAAATCACAAGCTTTAATTGATGTCTAAGAAAGGGGATTTTCCTTGTGGCCGGCAGCAACAACAATTTAGGATACATACGCACATCCGTGAATGCCTACGAAACATAAAAACGATAACTTTTTCGAGATCCACCAACGTAGTTTGCACTTTGTGTCCCAATAATTAAGACCAAAAACAAAGTTATCAAAGCTTCGTTAGATCGTTGAAATCTCATCCCAGCTCAGCAACAAATTATATTATAAACCTAATTCCTACAACAATATAGCAGATCCACCGGTCCAAGGTAATAAAATCTAATAACTCAAAGGTATTGGATACCCGAAGTAATTCGTGTAATAAATTACATCACTAGAACACAAATTCGCTTCAGCAAATAATGTATTTGTGAGTGACGTCTCAAATATGAGTTAAGCAGACGTTAAGCACATTAACGCGCACCTAAAGAAATTCACCGCTCTCCAAATTATCGTGCACAATAATTGTTTTTGATAATTCTTGATCCAATACATAAATTCGTTGGAATGCAAACATTTCCACACTAAATATAGAAGCGCAAAAGACCTACACGTAATTAAAACGTTGATGATATTTAAAAAAACAGGTGTGGTGTGACTTTGGTGTGGTGCTGTTTGGTGTGGTGTAATGTGGCGTCGGATCAGGGCGCAGACATGTTGGACCACCTGGCCTCAGCCAATCCTGTGTCTCTCTGCGATCCAATGGCATGCGGGAAAGGAAAGCAGCCAACCAGAGAAGGACATGGATGAGATGCAGTATATAATGAGCGGCATGGCCAGCGAGGTGGACTCGGATGGAAGGCGCCTGACGCGTGGCTCTGGCTTATGATTGGTCAATAAAGCCTGTTCTGTTGTACCGGTCTTTTTCCTATTAGGGCTCGGGTATTCTACAGTAACGTCGGATTTGGGCGCAGACATATTGGACCACCTGACCTCAGCCAATCCTGTGTTCCAATGGCATGCGAGGAAGATAAACAGCTAACCAGAGAATGCCATGACTGAGGTGCAGTATATAATGAGCGGCGTGGCCAGCGTGGCTGACTCGGATGGAAGGCGCCTGACGCGTGGCTCTGGCATCTGATTGGTCAATAAAGCCTGTTCTGTTGTACCAGTCTTTTACCTATTAGGGCTCGGGTGTTCTACAGTGGCGTCGGATTAGGGCGCAGACATGTTTAGCCACCTCTCCTCAGCCAATCGCGTGTCTCTCTGCGATCCAATGGCATGCGGAAAAGGAAGGCAGCCAACCAGAGAAGGACATGGATGAGATGCAGTATATAATGAGCGGCATGGCCAGCGTGGTAGACTCGGATGGAAGGCGCCTGACGTGTGGCTCTGGCTTCTGATTGGTCAATAAAGCCTGTTCTGTTGTACCAGTCTTTTCCTATCAGGGCTCGGGTATCCTACATTGGTGGCAGCGGATGCGTTCGAATAACGCAAATCGAACCCCAGCCCTTTCCCCACAATGGACAACAGAGGCAAAGACCCTTAGATGCCAGCTGGAGTTGTCATGGCGGTCATCCGATGTTCAATAAACTGGATCCATAGACATTGCCCGGGATTAGGACTACTGCATCTGAAGAGACATTGGCAACTTAGCAACGACGTCTTGAACAGTAAAAGCCAGCTGGACTGCATCTGCGAATGGACCTACGATGGATGAAGCGTCCTTCCTGCAAGTCTACAAGAGCAAAGTCCCTCGTCAGCTATTCGCATGGGCCACTATCCTGCCAGATGTGGGGTGCGGGGAGTGTTGAACTGGATATTTTATCAACACTGGAAATCAACAGCAGTGCGGTGGACGAAGCCAGAAGCTGAGGACAGCTTCACTCCTAAGGGGGAGGCAGTGTGGTGTCGGATTAGGGCGCAGACATGTTGGACTACCTGGCCTCAGCCAATCCCGTGTCTCTCTGCGATCCAATGGCATGCGGGAAAGGAAGGCAGCCAACCAGCGAAGGATACGACTGAGGTGCAGTATATACTGAGCGGCGTGGCCAGGGTGGTGGATTCGGATGGACGTCGCCTGACGTGTCGCTCTGGCTTATAATTGGTCGATGAAGGCTGTTCTGATATACCAGTCTTTTTCATGAAAGGGCTGTTGTAGTCTACATTGTAGCGGAATGGTTGATAGTTGCCATCTTAGCGCTCAGTCATTGGTCGAAGTTAATCAGCACGGCGTGGTGACGACGTTATGTGACCTTTGGCACGACTTCCAGCTGTGTGGCGTCACGGAGGCATTGAATGACTCACCGGGGACAGAAAGCCAATGCGCTACGGGTTTTGCGTCTCCATTAGAGTGCCACTGAACGGACCAACGGGAGAACATGAAAACCAGGAGGAGGATGTAAAAACCTTGGTTTTCCCTCAACGCTCGACTAGATTGTGACTTGTTGCAGCCTTATTAAACGACTCCATTTTTGCCTTGCTCTCTTCTTGACCACACTATGTGGTTGAGGCGTACTGTGGCTACGTACAAGAGCGCAGCCTATCCGTCCTCTCTGCAATCCAATAATCTGGGAGTAGGATATGCAGCCAACAAGAAAAACACGAATGAGGAGTAGACTTTCATTAGTGGCGTAGCCAGCATGAAGTCTCGGATGAATGGCTCCCGATTTGTGTTTTTGGCTTGTGGTATATCAATTAAGCCTGATCTTTTGTACCAATCTTTTTCAAACAAGGGCTCGAGTATTTTAAGAATCCACAATGTACGATTAATTTAAACTGACGGGTGCTATTGTACATTTACGTCATATTAACCAAAACAAATCCGAGTGGTGCTATCAGGCTAATATTCCATATATTAACTTTAAGCAAATAATTCAATTTGAGACTAAATGAGAACGTAGTGTTTAAACATTGAATTAGGTTTTTGTATTGGTTTACGTCGTTTCATGTGTTTGACTTAGAAATAACATTAATAGCTAAAGAATTACTGTAACCTCATGAAACTTAGCTACAAACGCATTATATAAAATTTGAATTGAATTGAAAATTCAAAATGTTGCAAGCTAAACTGACAGAAGATAACTTATGCTTTGAATATCGTTTAATGTGGTATTTTTACACCATCAATTGGGACTAAATGATAATGCTTGCTCTAATGTTCAAAGGACACATAAACCAAAACCTCGCACTTTTAATAGTTTCAAGTAAATATCGAAAGAGAATTAAACAAAATAATTGCATATTTTATTTATCTAACCTTGCCACTTTGTCTTAAATGCGTAACTATATTTTTTTGCTGCGCTATTTTTACTAGCATCGGCCCCATACATTGATTTCTGACGTCATCATTCCCAGATTACAAAAACGTCACAGTTATAATATTCGCTTTTCTTAATGTAAACAGGCATATTTTAAAATTTGTGAGAATCGGTTTTCCCAAAAATTTGGAATTAAATTACAAATAATTTCAACATTGCAACATGCCATGTCGGTGTTTTCAATGCTAGACTTGTGACAAGTTAAGAGACGAACAAACAACGATGTGGAAGAGTGGATTAAATTTTCTCAATGTCCAGCCGCGTAGCTTAGGCCCCAGGCCCGAAACCTATGCTGAAACATACTCATAACACTGAAATGTAATAATGAATTGACCTATGATTTTTCTACTGTTCTGGCTGGATAAGTTGCCATAGTTTTAAATTTTTAATACGTAGGAAGTAAAGAATCATCAGATTGTCAGAGGTTCGAAGTTACTCTTATATGTCGGATTATCATGTATGCATTTTAAACGAAAACATGCGTAACCATTCAAGAGGCATTTTAACTAATATTTAAAATACTAAAAAACTTTTAATAAGTTACAACATCACTGACCCCTAATCCAACAAAAGCCATCTTTAAAAATTGTAAAAAAATAAAATGCGAAATGTGGTTCGAGGCACCCACGGCAGATAAAAGCATTTGGAATACTTTCAATAGCACTCAACAATGAGCACTATTTAGGCAGCCCGCTGAAATGACAGGATTTAAAACTGAAAAATAATCAATTCTGAAATATAAATTATTGTTCTGAATCTTCAAAAAAGGCATCAGGAAGCATTTGTCACGATAAAATTAATTAAATTTAAAAGTCGTGATTCCGCATATATCAAAATTTTAAGGGCAAATTATTTCAAATATTTGTTAAAAATTTAGTAAATTGCCAGAGAATAATGATGACATTGATAGAACGGCCGCATTTTTTAAGGCATTATTAAGATCCACTCATCCCAAATAACATTCCGCAAGTGACCGGTGAGTTAGGGCCAACTGAAGTTTTTCAACAACTGTTCCGCTCTCGTAGAGTTCAAGCAGGGCTTTATATTCACTAACTGCAGAAGCGTAATCATCGCTTTCGTAATAAAAAAGTGCCACAGCAAGTGTGGCTTCGATTTTCTCACGTAGGGTTTTAGCGAGAAGCTGCCGCTGCTTTAGTTCTACATAATATGAACGACGAAACTAACATGCTCTTAAGCTTTATCTACGGTACAGTAAACGACATTTTCATCAATTAGACAAATACATTCACAGCTATTTAATCCCAATGAATTTAAACAAAATTATTTCTGAGTTGATTCATTTAAAAAAAATACTTACGTACACCAGAGGAACATTTTGTGTCTCTTTCAGTGCAATTATTTAATTCATTACAACTACCGTTCCTTAACGTTTTTTCTGTCAAAAGAAAAAAATTACGAAAGCAATTAGCAAAGGCATATTTGCCCCTTAAATTTTTACTTCTAAGTATGGGAACGGTCAAAACATCTGTACTATTACCAATCGCAGCATCACGTGGAGAAAATGCTTACGGCTATTCAAACTCTAGTTTTTGTCATGGACTATCACAACATAAAAGCATTATCGTAGATAACGCAGAGTTAAAGAATGCAGCAACCCAATGCTCACCTAATCCCATATTGCCAAACCAATTTGCATTGATACATTTTTTGCTTTAAGATAGCCATCCGCAAATTTCTGAGCTCTATCGAGATACTTTTGGTCAGAAATTATACACTAACAAGTTTCCGAAACAAATTGCAATCAATAAAATGTTATTGTAGCCAAAATATGTGCAAACCAATGGAATACACTGCAACTAGGGATTTCGCAGGTGTGCATCTGATGGGTTTTGGGTAAGAGATAACCGCAGTTTTGAACACTGATTGCCATCAAAAAGAAATCATCGAAAAAGTTAAACATCTCACATGAGAAATCGACTTGAGGAAATCGATAAAACATGTTAAATGAAAAAATGCTTGCATTCGAAGACTCATCGGTTCGAAGAAATATGTTGTCAGAACCGCAATACGTAAATGAGGCACAAATGGAGACCAAAAAAATATTCAACTCTGTGCCATTTCGTTTGAATTCATCGACTTCCTTAGCACTCACTAATGCCGTTGGGTTCAAAAACAATTCCTTACCATTGATTGGTTTCATCAAAGCCAGGATAAACATCTCCACAGTACTTTATCACCTAATTATAAATAGCTTCAAATCAAATCGTTAGCCTTGGCGCATTCATTCAAATTGGCCAATAGGCTGAAATGGAACCTCGGACCGCAGAACGTAAATAATAAAAGTGGGAATGTTTAACGTGCTTGTTACTAAGAGAATATCGTGCTAATGCTTGTGCTGATTGTTAATTTTTAGTGAAAGTGTGTTTTACAAATATGCATGGCATTTGTTACCAGCCTAACAGCTAACCAACATTCAACAGGTTCTCAACAAAATGCACATGTTGAACGCATCACTGCAGATCTGGGGCGAGAAAATACCAATTACGTGCTTCAACATGTGCACTTCACCAAATGGAAAGCATAAATGGGAATTTCAATGGAGGAGGAGTCATATAGCAGTTGTGGGACTGAGTTGTTGTCGACGGCCCAACTTTCGTCGCTGTACAGGCGGTGGCGATATGGATAAAGTTGGCGTTTTGACCTCTTCTACAGGGTTGCAGGAATGTTCGGTTATCTCACCAAGATAATTCGAGGCGGTTTCCAGGGACTGAAGCTCCGTTAGCATACCCGATTCCACGAGCCATGATTTGAACCGTTGTTCTATGCTGGCTGAAAACAGAGCATGCTCCTCTTCTGTTAAATTGGCTTCCTAGAAACATTGGACATTAATTTACAACATTTTCGAAAATTTGCTGAAGCAGCAAAATAAGCCATGTGAGTACGTGTCAGGAAACAAATACGATGACATTATACACTTGACTGAACTCCTAACTGCTCATGCTACTGTTTCGCACACAACCCAATTTTGAAAGCTAGACCACGCGGCACAAATGATGAAGCCAAAATCAGTTACGTTAGGCCACATTACCGAAGCTATCACAATCCATGCAAGGACTTCATCGACTCGGCTCGGAATCAATAAGCGGAAGTTGGGCAGTTCGATCCAATTATCTCGGGGTTAAGTTAAACACGCGAGATTTTGACTGTGTAAGCTAGTTTGTTTTGCTTCCTTCAGACAACCGGTTGTGAGTGGCAACAAAACCTACCACAAATCTGAAATTTAACACTTTACGAACCAGTTACCTGGATTAATTGTCGCCAGCTTTCGTATGCGGCGCGGCGTCGGTCAATCATCTCAGCGTACACAGGTGGAAGGGGAACAATTAGAGGTGTTCTTTGGATAGGTGACCCAAAACTCTCTTCGACGGCACCATCGTTGCTGCTACGACAACTGGTTTCACAATCACGGCCGATGATCGCACCTTGACATACATCACAGGCCTTCTTCTTTACACTTACACCAGACTGCATGAATGCTGACAACTTTACGTCTGGCAGTCGTTTCAGTGAATCACTTTCCTCAGTTAATTTAATTGGTGCTAAAGGAATATTAAAAGGAAAGAAATTCTTCGGGGCTATCAACTCCCATACGTTATTCCATTCACCTTGTACGACGCATGTTCGCATGAAATCGTAGTCTACAAACAAAAAAAGCACAAAATTTATCACAAGAAATGCTCACAACTCTCTCTCCCTCTCGTCCGGAGAAATACTTCGAGAGTATATCATAATCTAGATGCCACTGAACAATAAACAATGCAATCAATTCCATTCAAACCTACTATTTACGCGTACAAGATTTCATCACCCGTTGAGATTATGCTCAACGCCTATGTCCGTTTATTCAGATGGTAAACGCGGTGATTGCTACAACGCCAGACAGTTGACTCCAAGGTTTGGAAAGAAGTCAGAGTAGCGTATTAGAATATTTGAACTTCTGTTGAATGACCACAATCATCCAGATTAACGGATTCTTGAACTATTCAGACAGAGTAGCAATCAATGCTCTTACACCTTTCTACCAGAGGGAACTATCTTATCGCTAGGGCTGCTCGATTTAATTGCGCTATCCACATAACAGTCGCCAGTCCCAGTGTTCAACACAACACCAAAAAAGGCGTACCAAACAGGAGTGGTTTATCCCACAGATTGATGTTAGGGTTAAGACCAGCTTTGCCTAGATGGCGTGGCAGGTCTGGATATGTAGTGTGGTAAGGTGCAAGTACAATGCCTTCATTGCCGATTCTCTCTCCTCCGGAGGCTGCGAGCGTTAAGGAAATACATGACTGGATATCACACCCATTACTGATCGAATTTGCTGTGGGCGGTTGCAGGAGGAGCGGTCGGGTGGGGCAGAGAAGGTGAAGGGTACAGCGACGAGAGCCCGACACTATGACTCGACGCGTGGGCGCAATGACCAAACAGTCCTCACAGTCATTCAACGTCAATGTACTCTCAACTGGACCAAGGACCACAGTTGACTTCCGACAACGGTCTAGTGACACACACCTGAAAAACGCATTAATGAGTGTTTCAGATTCAGGAAAGAGTACCTACTGGTGCTAGGTTTACAGAGCATGCATAGTCAATGAAGCGCAGTAAACAGCACGGCAAATGACGCAAAACCACACAGAAGGTATTGGGTGGCCAAGAGAATGAAATAACTAACTCAACAAACCACAGGTTCTAAGTCATGATAAGCTTTTAGTCGCTGGTCTCTCACGATTGGTAGTAACACCGATGGCAAGAGTCAAAATAGAGACGTGTGGGTTGTGTTGGCTGGATTCTCAACTTCACGATCACAGGTCCAACAGTGCCCCACGCTAAAATGTGGAGTGCTAAGCGTAGCTCAAACCAATTTTGCCGTCTACCGCATGTAATCGGAAAGGCGCAAGTTAGGTTAGGCGTCATCTACTAAAGACACTGAGAATGGCGGGTTTGTGGTGGCTGTCAGATTATCTTGCACTAGTAGGAAAGAACGACATTTACATGCAGATTGAGTTCAAGCAATGAGGACAGCAAGTCGGAACTGTTTCTGTTGTGTAGAGAGTTACGATTATCCGTTCTTTCCAAACGTCAAGTCTTTGGCGTCTGAAAGTGCTCGCTAGTCTTTGGGGAGTCGGTTGCCTTTCGATATCTCGGAACACTGAAGCTGCTTTCATGCTGCTTTACATACACTCAACCAGCAACTTTTTGAAAGAGTAATTAACTATCGCGGTGATGCTGTGTAGATTTTTGCATAATTCTTTGGCCGAGAGAGATCGTTACAGATAATCTTCGTTAGAGGAAGTAGTGACTAGAAGTACACCCGTACTTGGCTTCGAATATGGGCTATCCCACGCCATGAAAACCATAAATTTGATGCACCTAGACTTCAATGACAAAAGTCAGGTGTGATAATTATAAAATATCAAAATTAGTTGCGACTGCTTTTTTTCTAACATTGTGATAATACGGATGTCCTAGCGTAATTCGAACATTCATGTTTAATGTATGGAATATTTTGTGTGCGTGTTACCTCTTTAGCTTAAAGCATTCCCGTCCTTTAAGCTCTACGGTTTAGATTACATCAACTAGATCTGTTTATACGGCATTATTAGTAGTGGTAGCAACAGCGGAGGGAGGATATTGAATGGGTCTGCTCAGAACTGCGGAACAAATTTCCTGCCAACTGGTTCGTATACGCCGTTTCGGGGCAATATATTGAAATAAGGTAGCTCTGATTAAGAACACACACGAAAACTGGACTTGAAAGAGAAGATTCTGATAAGGTTTAATGAGGATAATCAATTCATACTATTGAAAGCGTTGATTGCGTTGCAATTATAGCACTCCACACCAAAAGGACACTGCTGCAACTACTTCGATTACTACGTGACGTAAAAACAGCAGGTGGCATTTAGCTCAGTAAACCAGCGTTACAAACTAGATGCAAGATGGTAAGCAGCATAATCTCACCTTAACGGGGCCAGGAGATAGATAAAACTGTTGCTAACGCGGTGAAGCTTAACGGTTGTGTGCTTAAGGAAACGCGATGACTGAAAAAAGTGGAAAGAGTTTTATTAATAACTGAGGATAATGCGGCTGATTTAGCTTTGTTACAAAATAATAACAAAAAACTTACACGTGCTATAAACTGCTGGTTGAGTGTTGTTGCTACGAGCATTTTGTTTCTAAAATGGATAATATCCTTCCCCGTAATTCCTGGAAGCTTGAAATAATTATGTCTCTGAGGAAAAACGATACTGGCGAGATGCATAAAAATAGCTAAAAGTTGGCCTGATATACCTATGTTTGTTCGGTCTATTTAACATAAAACTAAGCAAAAAATACCTATTTAAGATTTGGAATTAGTGAATGATTTTTAAAATGTCTTTTCACTTCTAATATACTAATACACAATATCCAGTGGCAGCTATAGTACTTGAAGCAGATAAATGCCAAAAAGGGGAATAAGGGAACATTCACGAAGTAGAAGAGGCTCACCCTCGGAAGCCCGCTGTTGGTGGCAACTGGTGAACATTTGTTGCGATCTTCTGTCGGCTTGACGATAAACGGGAAGCGGGGGATGCCACAGAACTCTCTCTGTGTGCTGCAGCCCATTGAATATCTGAGCCTTTGAGAATACACGATTCCACAGAGAAGGGGCATTGACAAATATTGGCACGGAGCCATGAGTGGAGGCTTCGCAGACTGAAAGACTTTGTCAGCTGGAAAAAATATACAAGCGGCAACACTGGGAAACGGAGTGGGCATTTTATTGAGCGGGGATAAACTGACTCTTAATGGCGTAGGGCGGCGTGGTAATAACAAACACAGTGTTGAAATAGCAGATTAAAAGCAGAGGACAACATGGCAGCCCAATTAAATTGAAGAAAGTGAAACACACAATTCACATTTCACGCACATAGTGACAGAAAAAACGAAACTAACTTTTATTTACATCAACCCTTTTGGTAACTTTGAATGAAAAACCTGTGAACGTTCACTTAAAGCAAACATCAATCGTAGTACTGCCCCTAAACGATCAAAACATGCCGACAAAATTACAGAAGTTTCTAGTTAACATGGGTAAAAACATCTGTTAAGAAAGTATGAGTCGTAATCATATTGGGAACACAAGAACCACAATACAAGTAAGCCAACTGTTTTGTTGAAATGATGATTTTAGTCAAGACATCCAACAATTTCATTTTCTGGATAAACTGTCACTAGATTGGTACTATAGGCGATCAGGAAAGTATTCAGGTTGTCACAAACGAAAAAACGTACCTCGTTATATCCTACATGAGGGAGACACGTGGGATCAAAGAGAATATCACGAAGGGGCTTGATGGAACTAAAGAAGAGTAATCTTTTAGCACAGCGGAGTTATTACTTCATTCGATCGATGGTGCCTTCTAATAAAAATGAAAGTGAGTCCAAGACACCAACAGGAATACGCTTGTCGTCGTTGGAATTGGGGTTGACTTCGTTTTCGAGAGACTCTTGAAAATACAAATAAACCAAAACAATACAGTAAGTACGTTGCACCGGACTCTAATTTTAAGATAATCAATAGAGCAGAAAAAAGGATTTTGTGGGGAGTAATTAGATAATATAGTTACAAATATTCATCACACATGTTTAGGAAAAGAAAGCCGTCATTTACCATGACAGAAGGCATTATTTTGGCTAACCTATTTCTAGGAAAGTTTGAGGAATATAAGTCTGCTAAGCAATATGAAAAGAATAAATATAATTTGGTCATGAAAAAGTAAAGCTTGGTAACTTGACTAAATATATTTAAACTAGGAAATTCCAACTAGACTTATAAGCAGAACCTCCGGAGTACGTACCCGAGTCTGACAATAGCTCCATAATTTCAACAAGAGATTCTGTTATGAATTGCAACTGGTATTGCTCAGACATATTCTACATTGAAAGTAAGACAAGCAACTATAAAATACTTTAAACTGTCGGAGACGATTTGATCGAACAGGTGAATCACCAACACCCTTAAAAGAAGAACCGGGCCATCTATGTTTGAAAAGAAAATCTATTTACACAAAGCACTTACTCTGCGCTAACCGACGCAACCGACGACCGTAATGACAGTTTATTGATTTGATGTATGTAAAGAAAGAGTGCAAATGTGTATAGATCGACACATTGTTGGAGTCTAACTATTTCTGAGGACGGTTATTATGGAAGAGCAAACCTATCTCCAAATCGTTTTTGGCTTTTGAGATGGCAGACTCCATCTCCGTAAGATATTCTCGCTTTTGACAGGACATGATCATACATGTCTCAAAATAGCTATCCTTTAAGATGCTAAAAATGAAGCTTACGTCCACGCTGCATCCTCGGAAATAGACAATTTATCGCAAGCAACGTGCTTCCAAACGCCGTAACTACGATAGACATTTGGTTTATTTGATTACTTTAAATGGGTATATCCAGTGCAGGTTTTACCCTTTGCATATAAAATTAACCTCTTAATGTTCTAAACTTTGTGTGAGAATATCTTCAGAGACATACAATTGATGAAAGTCGCGGATGGGGTTGCATTTGAAATACACCAAAATTAAACACCTCAGATCGTGGCCATAAGGCAATGGGCCTGTTAATCCCATAGTTCATTATTGACACAAATAAAAGAGATCACGAATGCATCAGAGGTCAAAATGCTAGAGATCGAAAATAAACACAACGAGGCACTAGCAACAGGTTGCAGCAACCGGTAATGGCCTTGAACACAAACCAATAATTTTGCGAATACGATTAATTGCAACTCAGCGTAAAACCAAAATTAATAAATCGATACTTTAGCTTATCCGCAATGGAAATGCGTTTACATGTAGCTTACCGTACCTTGTATCAACAATGAAGTGTTAAATGTAAGTCAATAACTTTTTTCTTGAAATAAGATTATGATAAACATGCTGTCTGCTGTAAACCAATCAATGTAAACCTTTGTCGTCTCACTTATTTCGGCATCTTGCTTAAATGGGTCTTCCTGTGGACACTAGGCCTGCTCCTGGAGAGTTTCAGCATGATATTCCAGAGGTTGACGTGGAAGGATATGAGCAGTTTGCGCCCATAGATGAATTGTCTAGGTTTGGTTTATTTCCCCCTCTATATTATTAGTAGACTTGAGGTTGGGGACGATTACTGTCTCCACTGTCACGAAGGATTTCAGATGAATGAAAAGGTTGTTCAAGCGCGTAACGAAAAGTACCACGTTGGTTGTTTCGTGTGAGTCTCTTGTATATTCTCTTCATCGTTACATAGTTGTGCCCAGTGTTTTCAGCCCTTTCCCGATGGTGTTTATTACGATGTAAGTTGCCCGTTGATTTTACGTTTCCTTCTGTAGTTTGATGGTAGGAAGTATTGTGAGCATGACTTTCATGTTCTGTTCGCGCCGTGCTGTGGGAAATGTGGTTATTTCATCGTTGGTCGTGTTATTAAAGCAATGAACAGCAGCTGGCACCCTGAATGCTTCCGCTGCCAAATCTGTAGTAAATGTCTTTCTGACGATGGCTTTGTTAAGCATGCCGGTCGGTACGTTCTAGTGCAGCTTATTGTTTTGTATTTATAAAAACAAATGTTTTATGCGTTTGTTTTGTCCTAGAGCTTTGTGCCACGAATGCAATGCCCGAGAAAAAGCAAATAGTTCTGGGAGGATACTGTGTTTCAAGTGCCATTCATACGTTGATGAAGGCCAGCAGCTAAAGTATCAGTCGGAAGTCTACCACGCGTATCACTTTACTTGTTCGTCGTGCGGTTCAGAACTTAGTTCAGACGCCCGGGAAAAAGATGGTGACCTCTATTGTCTTCGCTGTTTTGACAAAATGGGGATCCCGATTTGTGGAGCGTGTCGGTATGATATGGCTTTAATTTTTGCGATGCTAGTCTTCTATGCAATTTAGTGGCTCTAATCTGCTCTCTAATTATTATTGCAATTGATAAATATCGTTTTAGCTTTCGACAATTTTTGGGCAAATCGTAGGTATTGTTTTGGTTATAAGCACCTTAACATGATATTCTAACGGCAAAAGTGAATCTGTAATATAAAATGAAACACTAGCGTTAAAAATGTGATTTGCGTGCTATTTCCTCGCTCAATTAATTTTGTCTCAACCGCCGTTGAATGTGTCTCTTAGTTAAGTTTTTAAAAGTTTTAGTTAAAGCCTATTAAATAGATTCAGTTTTCATCAAACTTGCAGTTACCATCTTCTTTTGTAGTCGGCCCATCGAGGAGCGTGTTGTACATGCTCTTGGAAAGACCTGGCATGTAGAACACTTTGTCTGTGCGCGTTGCGAGAAGCCCTTTTTAGGATCGCGCCATTACGAGAAAAAGGGTCTGGCCTACTGCGAGCTTCACTACCAACAACTGTTTGGCATGTTGTGCTATTCTTGTAATCAGGTCATTCCTGGGGAGACTGTATTTGCGTTGAACAAAGCCTGGTGTGTTGACCACTTTGGATGCATTGTCTGCGATCGACGGATTAGTCCAAAGTAGGCCTAAAGCACTTTTTTGAAGACTGTTGATTTAGATTTATTTTGGTTTCTGCTCTATAAGGTATATCCTCTGAAGTTTACTCAGCAATCTGAGCTCCAAATATCACCTGGTGCTTACTTGTGAAATGCGTTAGCATGGGCGAGGTCTGCTATATAACCTGCTTTCACCGTCAATTTTTGTTATATCCTTTAGTCTATTCAAAAGTTGGTACCTTTAAAAAGTCAAAACTTAAATTTGCTAGAATTGTGACATCTTTACCCTTTTCTATTTTTAGAACAAAATTCTACGAATTTGATCTTCGTCCAGTGTGCAAATCATGCTACGAGATGTTCCCTATTGAGCTTCGCAAGCGAATTGCGAAAATGCATAAGCTGGAGAATTGAGTAATCACTGCCCACCTAATCGCTATACCATTTGACTTTTCGGTTATTTTCCTTCTTCCCATAATCAAATTGCGCGTGCTCATGATGTCAAAAACCGCCTTTTTTCTTTAACCTTCATTTTTCTGAATATGACAATCTTATTGTAACTTTAGGCTCTTATCGGTGTCGGTCTCTTGCTTTATGATATGGCCAAAGGCATCTATTTGCTGATAAAAAAGTAAAACAACATTTTCTAAAAAAATTGAGTATTGCGCATTCTACTTGTGGTCGGTAGGTGCTGAGATAAATTATGAGGTGTCTGTGGATGTTTTAGAGCTAGTCCTATTATCACAATATTATCGATGGTGCATCCGTGCCTGTCCTGGGGTTGATTGTGAACTCATTGAACCCTTGCATGGGCATTGGGTTAAGTTCCGGATACCAGACTTCGTACCTCACGTCAATGAATCCGGTCCCTCACAGACACTATTAGGAAGGTCTGCGATCTCGTCCTCCATGAGAAGTTTCCCAGCAATTGTGTCATGCTTTGCGAATGTTCTGTCGATTTAAATAAGCAGTGTTCTACCCAGATTGCTATTTGCAATGTTTTGCCTCCTGGTGTCCGCCCACGGCTCGGTATTCCCACAGTATACAACACAATACACTTGCAACACTGCCTGTCCATTAGCGTACTTCTTGTGGTGGTTCCCACGAATTCTTATGCTTAAAGGAGGTCCACCAACCGCTTGATAGGCCGAGTCTTGTGATGCCAATAAAACCCGCCCCGCTTTATCGCAGTAGGCACAGGACCGACATTTGCCATTCCGTGCCTAGACCATATCTAGGGGAACCTACCTAAGCCACCCCCGTTGTTCACATACATGCAATGTTCTGAACTGTCCTACATGTACATCACGCCGTTTGACGTACTACACAGGTGCATTTGCACATAACAAGTCAGCCCAACACAGCGTGCGATCACGCCAGTCGCCAAGGAAGCTAATAGAGTCCGATTAAATTTGTGTCTTGTCTTTAGCATGAATTAGGCAACACCATGCCCAAACAATGTTGCATAAGGTAGATTAAAATGAGCACGCGGACCCCAGCCAATTGCGTGGTACAGAACCCCCATGCTTTTGAAGTGTGCTTATTCGAACCTTGGGTTTATGGCACTAAAACAAAACACCATTAATTCCGATGTCAAACGGCTAATATTCCCCGAAAATATAGATAACAAGAAAATAAATGATATAATTGCATAATGCGATGAGACCAACATCCGCAATGTCACGACCTTACCGGATCGTGGCAAACATTCGCCCTTCGGGCTTAGTAAAAAGTGTTTGTTGAGCTTCTAGGCCTGAGTGTAAGACAGGCGAAAAGATGCGAATAGCCCGTAGATGCGTGTCCCTGCCGTTCTGGTGGTTGGCGAGAACACAGATTTGGAGGGTGAAGAGACTCACAGGAGAGCCGTTGGGCCACAAGAGAGGTATAACCGACCACCCCGTTGGCTCGTGTAACTCCACCTCGGTCAGTTCGATCAAATCCCCCACGTGGTTCCCAACTCGGATCGCGAGTCTGAAACATTTGACGTAAGCAGAAGAACGAACAGGGATTGGCTCTGCCAATCTTCTAGGCTACCCTTGAAATGCCATAAAGCATCACCGAATGCCCTGTTGTGACAAGTTCCCACACAGCTGGTGCCTTAGGGCCTTTATTTACACTATTTTAGGTTTTAAACTGGAATTTGTTAGGCTATAATTCATAAACAAGCACTTAATTGTAAATGCAAGTACACCTTAAAAATTAGGCAGTGAGAGAGCTGGCTCAACGCCGGTTTCCACTTTTTGTGGAATTTAGTTCTAAAAAAGAAGTCATCAGTGCCTAGCACAAATCTAAAAGCATGAAGGTTAAGAAGAAAAAGAAGAAGAAGATTAAAAGGAAGTTGATTTCCACCAATTTTTTACCCACTGCATATTTTGGATCCCTACGTAAAGAAAAAAATTCGTAAAAACGTTTGCAAATTAATTATTCATTTCAGGTTTTATAGAATTCGATTTATGAAAATTCAAGTAAAGCTAAAAGCACTTGAGGATTTGGCTTGCACCCCGGACCGGAAGTGCATTTACTGGATTTAACGACAAAAATAAAACATAGAGGATTTTACTTAACGTAGAGACACTGTCGACCTCCCCGGTAATTTTGCCGACGGCTTTTGAGAAGCAAGGCCGTGGCCGAACGCACTCATTTAGGTCACATTCTGAAGGTTCACCAATCCCGCGCTGTCCATTTACTGGTCTCGAAACCTAAGCTAGTGGGTGGGTGTAACAGTTTAGCAGTGACGCGGCTGTGAGCAGACGTTGCACAGTAGAGAGCCAAATCTGATATGAAGAGTTCTACTGACTTCCGCGAAAAAATAGACCGTACATCCTGTCGGTGTAAATTAGTAAACAAATCCTCGGGATACAACGACGAAAACGGACGTATAGGTATTGCCTTACGGACAGCCTCGGAGAAGCAATGGGCTGGTTCGTTTTATCCCCCAGCTAGCTCACGATGCGAGCCTTAAGCCCTGAGTTCATGGAATAGCGAATGGCTGGTTATGAGTTCATCAGTTTTCAACTAACCAGTATAGGTCAGATGCCCGCGCACTCAACATTTGTGTTCCTGGGCTCTAAGGTTAACCCACATAATAAAAGTCCTTTCGATAAATGAACCTTTTTACACATTTTCAACTTAGTAGTTGAAATGATGGCTACACGTCAGTAGTCATACATGAATATCGACATTAAAACGAAAACAATTGCCTATAATCCTTCCCCATAAAAGACCTGCATCTGCGTAACCTACCGACTGGGGGTATAACTTTCATCCACTTTGTAGTCGTTATAGAGACAGATTTCTGACACTGCTGTTTTCTGGGGGAACTGCACTGTGACGGTGTGTGGCTGTGGTCCATCGGACTGCCAGTAGGTGTCCAGAGAATCGCTCAAGAGCTGGTCAATCCCATGGTTGTTTTTACACGACGAGAGACACCACACGGCCCGATCGCACACATCATAAACCTTCGTTTGGAATAAATAATAACAATAACAGTACCTCAGTAACTACGGTGAGGCTAGAAATCGAGCAAAATAGGGCATATGAAATGGCTTAATTTACCTTACCTTCTCGTTCCTTCTCAGCGATATCAACAGTAGTCGCAATTTTTATCCGGGTGTTCATGATGAAACTACAGACACAAAATATGTACAAAAAACTGCTAAATGCGCTCAAGTTACAAAAGACCAGAATTCGTGCAGAAAAAATATATTTAACGAGTAATTTCGAAATAAAGTAGGATGTACAGAAAAGAATAGGCGAACAATCGTTAAATTTACCGATAGCTAACTAAACTTATACAATGGGTGCGAAGTCGACGACAAAGTCACCTTCCAACAACACGCCATCAAAAGCTCCACCTCGAGAGCCGTGGATTACCTGCACCAATGAAAACTTGTGGAAAAGCATTTACGTTTACATATTCAAGCTTTTTTAAACAAACGTAAGCCGTTCATTGTCTTCGAGAATCACAATTGATTGCGTTTCCGAGTGAGTTTAAATTTGTACGAGACTTCTGCTGAAGCAATAAGAGTTGCGAAATCGGATATTCTATTATAAACAATTCGACAGATTCATCGAACCCATGGGGGCTGATAGGTAGACAATAATACACAGGTAAGACAGAGAGTATTTCAACGGCACAATCTATGCATCCCTATTGCTGTGTGTGAAACGGTGCCGAAGGCAATGGGGCTGCAGCGAGACCATGAGTGCTTGCCGGGGCGTTGGATGCTGAGGCTGGCGTTGTGGAGCGCCTTCTGAGCATCGAGGACAAGCCGCTGAGCGCCTCTGGACTTCCAGGGAGGGGCGGCAAATCTGATATATCCTCTGACCATAGGGTCCACAGCGGACGCAACTGCAGAAGAGAGTAGGTTTATGTTTAATTTTGCAACACAAAGATAAACGGTCAGTTCTCGCTCCTTATGATTTTTCGCCAACCAAGCATGCTGATTACCAGTAACATAACTTCTAACTTGGTGTCTTTTAAGACTGAAAACGCAGCTTTGAGAAGCAAGCGACCTGCTGGCAGGTGCCCACTTTGGAAGTGTGTGAGTGACGATCTATCAACCTAATTACTGGAGCATCCAGCGATGATACTAAAAAAATCATTAAGTTTTAAAGGCACCGCAGAAAGGCAACACCGGATATCAGGAATACGTACTCGAAAATTGGAGCTTCGCCTGATTTCGTGTAAGCTCAGATTACGAGATAAGAAAAAAGGTACACTTACGCTGAAACTGCTGACATCCTACAAGCCTCGTGTTTTTAAATAGTTACGTCCGTCAATGTTCACCAGTCAGGTTTAAACAAACATCGCTAAATGAATCAAATGGACTAAAATGCTACTTAGAGGATCTACGAGCCCCTAGAAGAGGAACAAACAACATGAAACCACTGAAAGTCCTTTAACGGCAATAAATTAGTGACTTAACTAAAACACAGTGAGGCACGTTGAGCAACGAGGTCCTGTCTCAACGCAACAGCACTGCAACTCATCAAGTCGGTAAACCCATTTTATGCGGCTATAACTGACAAAACATTTTACAGCCTCTTGACACTCCTGATGTTAGTCCTTTCAAAATAGATATGCGTCCCCAGATTACATAAATTGGGTTTCGAAGTTTCGCCAAAAATTGAAGAATTGTACTAAAGAATACGGGTAAAACGTATGAAAGGGAAAGTAGATTCGAGGGGGACGGACGTAGGATGGAGAAACCCAGTATTGCATTACACTGGACAAAAACTTTCAATGTACCGATTTGAATGCAGTTCTTGAAATGAAGTTTCTCAATTTTCAAAAATGTGATAAAATCATTTAAATCGAAAAAATTCCTTCCCCAGAGCGATGTCAGTAATTGGAGTCTCTGGCAGAGGAATCTATGCTCAAACAATTCGCAGTTTTGTTCATTTCGCCAATCGTTGTCACAGACTCAATGACTTTCATCGATCCCAACAAACGGGGCTTCGGCAGCCAACCCTTTTCACACTCATTCTAAGTGGCAACGCATGTTACTATTGAAAACCACGGCTAAATAAAGTACTTACTTCAGCTAAAACATCAGCGCACATCTCCCCAGCCATGCGATGAACACTGTGTTCCCGGTTGTTGTACATCCTGGCATTGGCAAACATAAGAAGCAGGTCCCGGAGAAACTGTTTCGCTGTCTGGGCGACAACCATTTGTGCATTTGACATAGTTTCTTCGCCCCCTGTAGTGAGGGGGGCCAGGCTGGACTCCACACATCTTCGCAGACCGGTGAGATCAACCGGTGAGTAGATCATACCCGAGTAGCCAGGCGCGATCTCGTCGGTCACTGGATGCAAGAAGATGTGAGCGTGGCGATGACTACACACAGTAGTTAGTGCTGACAACAAACCACGACGCCAACGACGGCGAGGAGCCAACTGGGCAGGTGAGAGTGAAATTGCCGAGGCTGGATGCGCTAGATGATTCAATACGAGAAAAGGCTTCTTAACGTTTGTCTGTAGGGGTACATACGGGCAACAGACCGAAAGGGGTGAGTAGGATCAGTGATCTACCGAACATCGTAGCCTGAAAGATTATTCTATGGCTACAACGTTTAAACAAGCTTCTGGATGCCGATTTTCAAAATGCATTCTGATAGTATCTGCGATTATAGAAATGACAATCAAACTGGCTAAGGTAAAGTGTTCATAAAAAAGTGGCGTCACGATCAGTTATTCACGTCACAGCAGCTGCTTGCTTCGGTCAGATGCAGGACCAATGCTCGCTACTAATTGGGCAAAAAACGCTTTTAGAAGGCTTCGGATAAAGTTTTAAGTTGGTCCAAATACTATTGAAAAACCATATTAATTCCCAGTGCCACCGAAAGGCGAGAAACAAAATAAGTAGAGGCAGAGAAGAAATGCAGAAGAAAAAAGCGACTCATAGAAACGAAAAGTTAAGTTACCAAGTAATGTATCTGTGGTTTGTTGAGAACGATGCTTTGACCTTCCGTGCGTCCTCAGATGCGATAGGTGATTTTCCGTCTTCAGAACTCCCCAACGCTTTTGAAAAGTCCTGCTGGTGGAGAGTTGAAAGTTTTCCGAACGGTCAGGCGCGCTAGAGCTCACTGGAGAGGGAAGTAAAGGTGCAGAGGGTCTCTTTGAAACGCAAACACTCTCTCCCGTAACAGATAGAGACCTATTGGTAGCCCCCGTGGGAGGTCGGTGGGTGGCTAAGTTCGTGGGGGGAATCGCAGTCTCCAAGACACCATATTGTGGGGTCTGAGATAACTCTAACTAGGAGCAAAATTGGAAGAATGGCCGAGAAGGCATAAAGAACACTACGAAGGAACAAACTAATTGTAAAAACAAAAGGCCGTTAAGTTAACATGAATTATGCACGACAAACCTTTGGGGTTTTACAAGGGGAGACTGGAGGCGAAATTTCGTCCCCCTCATCAAATTCATTTTCCTCACCACCGTCAATCACAGATGCAGTTCCACCGACCTCAAAAAAATTGCGCAGCATCTCATTAGAACCAACTGGTATCCATAGTCCACCGCCTTCGTCTACCATAGCTTGACAAAATCCACTGTCGGGTAGATCAGCATACTGGAGAGTTCGGCGTACCACCTTATCTTCCTCAGGATCTGCCGGTAATGGATCGAGATGGAGAGTGTCTGCGATCACATCCTGCAAACAGAAGGCCCTCAAACGTTTCCTGTACGCAAGAATACTCTCTGGAGCGATTTCAGAAAAGCGGCCAGCAAGAAGCTTTCGGTTTTCCTCACGTTCAGTTCTGAAAGAAAATAACTTTCTCACCTAATTTCGTCACAACTGACCCAACGCTGGATGAAAGAAACCACTTAAGCATGCTCGCTACGAAAAGTGTACAACATTCAAGAAGCGTAATATAAATAATAATAAAAAATCTATTTGCTGTTCATGATTACTTTTGACAACACAACAAGAGGCTTTAAATTTGTCTAAGATTACGTATAAGAAAAAAAGAAAATGCTGCAAATATGGTAAAATTACGACAACCCGTCAGTACATTCAAATGCTTTATGAATGTTATTATATGAATAGACTATACTCACTCCATTCTGGCTACGAGGTATTCCCTTCTGCGCCTGATTTGATCCTGCCGAAGTTGGGCATAATGAACTAGAGCTATTTGCAAAAGTTGCTCTTCTTTAAGGTAATGGAACCGCCTAATTTAGAGAAAATAAAACAGGAAACTCCATACTCCTCGATTTGACGTGTGGACGCAATCAGATATTTATACTGGATCGAACAGCTCTAAACCATAGTAGTAATAACAACGACGGCATAATTAGCAACCTTGTCAGAAAAATCCTTCAATTTTTCATGTCGAAGAAACGTATTGGCAATAACTGAGAGAGCACTGCAGACGAGACTCCAGTCTTTACCATAAGTGCTCACGGTCTTGAGCAGATAAAAGTTAGCTCCGTCACTCCAGTTCATCTAAGCAGAGGAAGGCTAAAACACGAAAGTCCCAAGTAAAAAATAGTAAGGATAGCTTGTGTTATTTCAATCAACATTCGCTGACTGCCAATTCACTACACTGTAAAGTCTTTTAATTAGATAAGGAAGGCTACTAATCAGGTAGTGAACATTTGAGCAAACACCCAACACGGATCAAGCCATTTTATTAAAAATCATTATCTCGAGATATCGATTCATCATTACCATTTGAATAAATTGTTCGTGTTTGTTGGGAAGCAGAACAGAACAGGAGTATACGCAGGCAGATGAACACGTTAAAAAACGAGTAGTGGCAACAAATATTTGATACTAACGGTACCAATAATGTTAAGAATTGAGCAATAACTCGTGCAAAAGAACTCAGCCACCGCCGCAAAACACAAATCACTAATTAACGTCTGTAGAGCATGCCCTAAATCTATAATTGATTGCATGGAATTAGAGGTTAATACATATAATATGATATCACGAGGACTGTTAATTGTTGGATCTTTTATTTCAAATTATAACATATTTGTCAATTAGTGTTTTTTTTTAAAAAAAAATTGAAAATTTAATAGCGACAAGGTATAGCACCTGTGGTTTAGTTTTGGTGTGGTTCGGTGTGGTGTGGTGTGGCGTCGGATTAGGGCGCAGACATGTTGGACCACCTGGTCTCAGCCAATCCCGTGTCTCTCTGCG